GAGTGGAAGAGAGAGGAAAAGACAGAGAGAAACATCGATGTGAGAGAAACATCGATTGGTTGCCTCCTGCACGTGCCCGGGCCGGGGAGAAGCCTGCAACCTAGGTATTTGCCCTTGACCGGAATCGAACCCGGGACCTTTCAGTCTGTGGGCTGATGCCCTATCCACCAAACCAAACTGGCTAGGGCATCTTTTTCCTTCACAAATTCACAGTTAGAAGATCATAGATCTTAGCAACCTAAGCATATGATTTTTTTTTTTTCTTAATTCAAGAACTTTCACTTTTTCACATAAAGGAAGTGCTTTACAGTTTCTCTTCAGCCTGGCAGGATAGCCAGCACCACTGCTCTAGCACTGCGGGGGCGCAAGCACAGTGACACCTCCACAGTCGATCCAGTAACAGACAGCTGCTGTGTGTCCGGTACTACACGGGTACCCTGGGCAAAGGATGGTGCACGTCCCGGGCAGGACTGAGGGTGCGCGAGACTTCACCACACTGCTCAGAAGGGCACGGGCTGTTTATTGAATGATTTGTTTCTGGGATTTTCCAGTTAATGTTTTCAGACCACAGTTGACTGGGTGATGAAACCATGAAATGTAAACTAAGCTGAGGGGAGACTATTCACACATGACCTTGGTGTGTGGCTTTGTTCCCTGAGCTCTGTGTTCTCCTAGTCCCGTGGTCGGTAAACCACGGCTCTCGAGCCACATGCGGCTCTTTGGCCCCTTGAGTGTGGCTCTTCCACAAAATACCACTTGCAAGCGCACACGTACAGTGTGATTGAAACTTGGTGGCCCATGCGCAGAAGTCAGTATTTTGTGGAAGAGCCACACTTAAGGGGGCAAAGAGCCGCGTGTGGCTCACGAGCCGCAGTTTGCCGACCACTGTCCTAGTCCTTCCACTTGTGGCATGGACCAGCACTTCATTCCTCTGTAGTGCTAAGTAACACTGCAGTCTATGGATACACTGCATTTTGTTTTTCTGCTGATGAATATTTGGGCTGCTTCCACCTTCTGGCTATTGTGAATAGTACTGCTATGAACATTTGTGTACAAGTATTTCTTTGAATCATTTGTTTTCAGAAATTGTGTCTATATATATAGCCGTGTAATTGCTAGATCACATGGTAGTTTTATATTTAACTTACTGAGGAACTGCCATACTGTTTCCACAGTGGCCATACCATGCTATTAATATGGTATATTACATGGATTGATTTTCCTGTGTTGAACCACTCTTGCATTTGACTATGAAAATTTGAATCTATAAGTCCATCATTTTGAAGAAGGATTTAAAATAAAGGTTTCATAGCTAATTTTTAAAGTTTTTGCTATGTTTTGAGGAAATACAGATACATCCTAAATATCAATGAAAGAGTTGTCTTTGTTTTCCTCTCGTTTTCATGAGTATCAAAGACTGATAGAATAATGAGGGGGGACAGGGGCACAGGGGGCCAGGGGGCCAGAAGAGGCTAGAACAGGGGTGGGCAAACTTTTTGACTCGAGGGCCACAATGGGTTCTTAAACTGGACCGGAGGGCCGGAACAAAAGCATGGATGGAGTGTTTGTGTGAACTAATATAAATTCAAAGTAAACATCATTACATAAAAGGGTACGGTCTTTTTTTTTTTTTTAGTTTATTCATTTCAAACGGGCCGGATCCGGCCCGCGGGCCGTAGTTTGCCCACGGCTGGGCTAGAACATTCTGTGGCAGGACTAGGATCCCAGAGCAGTGCCGATGGCAAGTGTTCAGCAGGAAGCAAG